CACTACCCACATACTAACACTGCCCATGAACTAACACTGCCCATATACTAACACTACCCATACACTAACACTACCCACAGACTAACACTGCCCATGAACTAACACTGCCCATACACAGTACTAACACTGCCCATACACTAACACTGCCCATGAACTAACACTGCCCATAGACTAACACTACCCATACACTAACACTGCCCACAGACTAACACTGCCCATACACTAACACTACCCATAGACTAACACTGCCCATACACAGTAATAACACTACCCATAGACTAACACTGCCCATAGACTAACACTACCCATAGTCTAACACTGCCCATACACAGTAATAACACTACCCATAGACTAACACTGCCCATAGACTAACACTACCCATAGACTAACACTACCCATAGACTAACACTACCCACAGACTAACACTACCCATACACTAACACTACCCATGAACTAACACTGCCCACAGACTAACACTGCCCATGAACTAACACTGCCCATACACAGTACTAACACTGCCCATACACTAACACTACCCATAGACTAACACTACCCATACACTAACACTACCCATACACTAACACTGCCCACAGACTAACACTGCCCATGAACTAACACTGCCCATACACAGTACTAACACTGCCCATACACTAACACTACCCATAGACTAACACTACCCATACACTAACACTACCCATACACTAACACTGTCCATAGACTCAACACTGCCCATAGACTAACACTACCCATAGACTAACACTACCCATAGACTAACACTACCCATACACTAACACTGCCCATAGACTAACACTGCCCATAGACTAACACTGCCCATGAACTAACACTGCCCATAGACTAACACTGCCCACAGACTAACACTGCCCGTACACTAACACTACCCATACACTAACACTGCCCACAGACTAACACTGCCCATACACAGTACTAACACTGCTCATACACTAACACTGCCCATACACTAACACTGCCCACAGACTAACACTGCCCATGAACTAACACTACCCATAGACTCACACTACCCATACACAACACTGCCCACAGACTAACACTGCCCACAGACTAACACTGCCCATAGACTAACACTACCCATAGACTAACACTACCCACAGACTAACACTGCCCATAGACTAACACTGCCCATACACTAACACTGGCCATACACTAACACTGCCCATAGACTAACACTACCCACAGACTAACACTGCCCATGAACTAACACTGCCCATACACTAACACTGCCCACAGCCTAACACTGCCCATGAACTAACACTGCCCATACACAGTACTAACACTGCCCACAGACTAACACTGCCCATACACTAACACTGCCCATACACTAACACTGCCCATACACTAACACTGCCCATGAACTAACACTGCCCATACACAGTACTAACACTGCCCACAGACTAACACTGCCCATACACTAACACTGCCCATACACTAACACTACCCATAGACTAACACTACCCATACACTAACACTACCCATACACTAACACTGTCCATAGACTCAACACTGCCCATAGACTAACACTACCCATAGACTAACACTGCCCATGAACTAACACTGCCCATACACTAACACTGCCCACAGCCTAACACTGCCCATGAACTAACACTGCCCATACACAGTACTAACACTGCCCACAGACTAACACTGCCCATACACTAACACTGCCCATACACTAACACTGCCCATACACTAACACTGCCCATACACTAACACTGCCCATGAACTAACACTGCCCATACACAGTACTAACACTGCCCACAGACTAACACTGCCCATACACTAACACTGCCCATACACTAACACTACCCATAGACTAACACTACCCATACACTAACACTACCCATACACTAACACTGTCCATAGACTCAACACTGCCCATAGACTAACACTACCCATAGACTAACACTACCCATAGACTAACACTACCCATACACTAACACTGCCCATAGACTAACACTGCCCATAGACTAACACTGCCCATGAACTAACACTGCCCATAGACTAACACTACCCACAGACTAACACTGCCCGTACACTAACACTACCCATACACTAACACTGCCCACAGACTAACACTGCCCATACACAGTACTAACACTGCTCATACACTAACACTGCCCATACACTAACACTGCCCACAGACTAACACTGCCCATGAACTAACACTACCCATAGACTCACACTACCCATACACAACACTGCCCACAGACTAACACTGCCCACAGACTAACACTGCCCATAGACTAACACTACCCATAGACTAACACTACCCACAGACTAACACTGCCCATAGACTAACACTGCCCATACACTAACACTGGCCATACACTAACACTGCCCATAGACTAACACTACCCACAGACTAACACTGCCCATGAACTAACACTGCCCATACACTAACACTGCCCACAGCCTAACACTGCCCATGAACTAACACTGCCCATACACAGTACTAACACTGCCCACAGACTAACACTGCCCATACACTAACACTGCCCATACACTAACACTGCCCATACACTAACACTGCCCATACACTAACACTGCCCATACACTAACACTGCCCATGAACTAACACTGCCCATACACAGTACTAACACTGCCCACAGACTAACACTGCCCATACACTAACACTGCCCATACACTAACACTGCCCATGAACTAACACTGCCCACAGACTAACACTGCCCATACACTAACACTGCCCATACACTAACACTGCCCATACACTAACACTGCCCATACACTAACACTGCCCATACACTAACCACTGCCCATGAACTAACACTGCCCATACACAGTACTAACACTGCCCACAGACTAACACTGCCCATACACTAACACTGCCCATACACTAACACTGCCCATGAACTAACACTGCCCACAGACTAACACTGCCCATACACTAACACTGCCCATACACTAACACTGCCCATACACTAACACTGCCCATACACTAACACTGCCCATACACTAACACTGCCCATACACTAACACTGCCCATGAACTAACACTGCCCATACACAGTACTAACACTGCCCACAGACTAACACTGCCCATACACTAACACTGCCCATACACTAACACTGCCCATACACTAACACTGCCCATACACTAACACTGCCCATGAACTAACACTGCACATGCCCTTCCCTTCTGACCTGAGAAGACCCTTCGGCAGCAGTGCTCAGGGGGTCAGGCTGCAGCTGCCCTGAGCCAGACCGCGTGTGGATTGCAGAGGTTTGTTCTGCGAACGTGCGTGTGTGGGTACGTGTCTGTGTGTGTGTGGGTACGTGTCTGTGGGTACGTGTGTGTGTGTGCCTGTGTGTGTGGGTGTGTGTGTACGTGTCTGTGGGTACGTGTGTGTGTGTGCGTGTGTGCATGTGGGTGGGTACGTGTGTGTGTGTGGGTGGGTACGTGTCTGTGGGTACGTGTGTGTGTGTGTGCCTGTGTGTCTGTGTGTGTGTCTGTGTGTGTGTGTGTCTGTGTGTGTGTGTCTGTGTGTGTGTGCCTGTGTGTGTGTGTCTGTGTGTGTGTGTGTCTGTGTGTGTGTCTGTGTGTGTGTGTGTCTGTGTGTGTGTCTGTGTGTGTGTCAGTGTGTGTGTCAGTGTGTCTGTGTGTGTCTGTGTGTGTGTCAGTGTGTGTGTCAGTGTGTCTGTGTGTGTCTGTGTGTGTGTCTGTGTGTGTGTCTGTGTGTGTCTGTGTGTGTGTATGTGTGTGTGTGTGTCTGTGTGTCTCAGTGTGTGTGTGTCTGTGTGTGTGTCTGTGTGTGTGTCTGTGTGTGTGTGTGTCTGTGTGTCTCAGTGTGTGTGTGTGTCTGTGTGTGTGTGTCTGTGTGTGTGTGTCTGTGTGTGTGTGTGTCTGTGTGTGTCTGTGTGTGTGTCTGAGTGTGTGTGTGTGTCTGTGTGTCTCAGTGTGTGTGTGTCTGTGTGTGTGTCTGTGTATCTGTGTGTGTGTCTGTGTGTCTGTGTGTGTGTCTGTGTGTGTGTGTGTCTGTGTGTGTCTGTGTGTGTATTGTGTCTGTGTGTCTGTGTGTCTGTGTGTGTGTGTCTGTGTGTCTGTGTGTGTGTCTGTGTGTGTCTGTATGTGTCTGTGTGTGTGTCTGTGTGTGTGTCTGTGTGTGTGTCTGTGTGTGTGTCTGTGTGTGTGTCTGTGTGTGTGTGTCTGTGTGTGTGTGTCTGTGTGTGTAGTCTGTGTGTGTGTGTCTGTGTGTCTGTGTGTGTGTCTGTGTGTGTGTGTGTCTGTGTGTGTGACTGTGTGTGTCTGTGTGTGTGTGTGACTGTGTGTGTGTCTGTGTGTGTGTCTGTGTGTGTGTGTCTGTGTGTGTCTGTGTGTGTGTGTGTCTGTGTGTCTCAGTGTGTGTGTCTGTGTGTGTGACTGTGTGTGTCTGTGTGTGTGACTGTGTGTGTCTGTGTGTGTGTGTGACTGTGTGTGTGTGTGTGTCTGTGTGTGTGTCTGTGTGTGTGTGTCTGTGTGTGTGTGTGTCTGTGTGTGTGTCTGTGTGTGTGTCTGTGTGTGTGTGTGTGTCTGTGTGTGTGTCTGTGTGTGTGTCTGTGTGTGTGTGTGTCTGTGTGTGTGTGGAGCGGTGGTGCGCTTCGCTGCGCTCCGAACCTGGCCACCCGGGTTCGATTCCCGCTCACGGCCTCCCCTAGGTCGACTCAGCCTCAAATGAGTACCTGGTGCGGCGTGTAGTTAAATAACGTCACTGGGGGAGAGACAAAGGCGGTCGGGCGTGGTGCTGGTAGCCACCCACCCCCTCGTGTGACCACAGCGCCGGTAGCCTTCATAGGCGCTACTCGCTAACAGCACTTGCCCCTACAGCCTGTTCGAGGCTATCGTTGTCTGTCTCCTCGCCTCTTGTCTATCTGCGTGTCTGTGACCTCGTGTCTCTCTCGCACTCCCCGTGTGTCTCTCTCGCTCTCTCTCCGACACTTCAAATCTACACTTTCTGCCACCCCGAACAGCTACCAGGCCTCACCGACCTCGACTAGTTCGGCTACCCGAATCCGCTCGGCCAGACACCCCCCCCCCCCCAACACCGACTCACCGCAAAACCGCCACCAAACCACCGTTAACAACAACAACAACCACAACAACAACGACAACAACCACCACCACCACCACCAACCGCTTCTACCTGTGGGCGACGAGGAAGGTGGACGAGGTGGACTGAGCTTGATTGGGACTCAGTGAGTGGTGATAGTGCCGGTCAAGCTACGCCCACCGGGATTGGCCACGCCTACTTTCACGCTGGGAACGCCCCCTTTTCGTTAAGCCCCTCCCCCTTTCACGCTGGAAACGCCCCCTTCTCGTTAAGCCCCTCCCCCTTTCACGCTGGAAACGCCCCCTTCTCGTGACGTCACCGCCCCTTCTCGTGACGTCACCGCCCTTCACGTTGGAACCGCCTCCTTCTCGTGACGTCACCGCCCTTCACAATGGAACCGCCCCCTTCTCGTGACGTCACCGCCCCTTCACGATGGAACCGCCCGCCTTCTCGTGACGTCACGCCCCTTCACGATAAGCCCCCGCCCCCTTCTCATGACGTCACGCCCCTTCACGTTGGAACCGCCCCCTTCTCGTGACGTCACGCCCCTTCACTCTGGAACCGCCCCCTTCTCGTGACGTCACGCCCCTTCACTCTGAAACCGCCCCCTTCTCGTGACGTCACGCCCCTTCACGCTGGAACCGCCCCCTTCTCGTGACGTCACGCCCCTTCACGCTGGAACCGCCCCCTTCTCGTGACGTCACGCCTCTTCTCATGACGTCACCGCCCTTCACGATGGAACCGCCCCCTTCTCGTGACGTCACGGTCCTTCACGTTGGAACCGCCCCCTTCTCGTGACGTCACCACCCTTCACGTTGGAACCGCCCCCTTCTCGTGACGTCACGCCCCTTCACAATGGAACCGCCCCCTTCTCATGACGTCACGCCCCTTCACAATGAAACCGCCCCCTTCTCGTGACGTCACGCCCCTTTCTAGATAAGCCCCGCCCCCTTGCACCCTATGCCCCGCCCCTTTTTAAATCCTTTATATTAAGTTCACTTGCTTGCTTGCTTAGGACCGTGCAAATCTTTCGGTCGTTTTTTAACCCACTTCCCGTGATCCAATCGAGCTGACATTTTCCACACAGACTCGTTGTGCGTGACAATTAATGTTCGTGAAAAAAAATTCCCAAAATTTTACACTTTTTAGGACAAAAAAATGTATTTTACATATATTCAAATAGAACTCATTCTTGGCTTTGGCTGAACGTCACAGTGTAAGAGCCCAGAGCGTAACCCCTCCACAGGCCGTGGCGGAGTAGCGCAGTTGGTAGCGCCCTCGCTTCCCATGCCAAAGGTCGCGGGATCGATCCCCGCGTCCTCCACAGGCGAATATATTTTTAAATCCTTTATATTAAGTTCGCTTGCTTGCTTGCTTAGGACCGTGCAAATCTTTCGCTCGTTTTTTAACCCACTTCCCGTGATCCAAGCGAGCTGACATTTTGCACACAGACTCGTTGTGCGTGACAATTAATGTTCGTGAAAATTTTTTCCCAAAATTTTACACTGTTTAGGGAAAACAAATTAAATATTTAATTACCAATTGCTTAATACTGCAGACAATCATCTGACCCATAGGTGGCAGCCATCTCAAGCCAGAGGACGAGAGGACTCTAGCCGCCACGCATATAAAGGATTTAGAGTGAAAAACTTTGTTTTTACGGGTTTACTTGTTGTTATTTTATTATTTCCCTTCTACGTGACTTTACCGAAAGAACCAAGAAGGTTTTTCTAACGAGTTTATTTCACACATGTCCAGCCGGGACACACGGGGGTAGGAACGCTACAACGACGAACTAGCAACACCGCACCCCATCGGACAGAGTAGGTGGTCGCTATCGGGTGCGCTGCTCCTGTGGACGTCTGGAACGTTCTTCCCTTCCGATATTAGGAAGCCAATGGGAGCTACGATGCCACTTTTAAATAATCATCATCATCATCATCTAGACTGGCAAACTCATTTCTTTTGGACTGCTTCTTGTTGTTGTCGTTGTGGTTTAGTTTGTTGTTGTTGTTGTTGTGTGTTAGTTTGTTGTTGTTGTGTTTAGTTTGTTGTTGTTGTGTTTAGTTTGTTGTTGTTGTTGTTGTTGTGTGTTAGTTTGTTGTTGTTGTTGTTTTTAGTTTGTTGTTGTTGTGTGTTAGTTTGTTGTTGTTGTTGTTTTTAGTTTGTTGTTGTTGTGTGTTAGTTTGTTGTTGTTGTGTTTAGTTTGTTGTTGTTGTTGTTGTGTGTTAGTTTGTTGTTGTTGTTGTGTTTAGTTTGTTGTTGTTGTTGTGTTTAGTTTGTTGTTGTTGTGTGTTAGTTTGTTGTTGTGTGTTGTTGTGTTAGTTGTTGTGTTGTTGTTGTGTTAGTTGTTGTTGTTGTGTGTTAGTTTGTTGTTGTTGTGTTTAGTTTGTTGTTGTTGTTATGTTTAGTTTGTTGTTGTTGTGTTTAGTTTGTTGTTGTTGTTGTTGTTAGTTTGTTGTTGTTGTGTTTAGTTTGTTGTTGTTTTGTGTTAGTTTGTTGTTGTTGTGTTTAGTTTGTTGTTGTTGTGTGTTAGTTTGTTGTTGTTGTGTTTAGTTTGTTGTTGTTATTGTTGTGTGTTAGTTTGTTGTTGTTGTGTTAGTTTGTTGTTGTTGTTGTGTTAGTTTGTTGTTGTTGTGTGTTAGTTTGTTGTTGTTGTGTTAGTTTGTTGTTGTTGTGTTTAGTTTGTTGTTGTGTTTAGTTTGTTGTTGTTATTGTTGTGTGTTAGTTTGTTGTTGTTGTGTTAGTTTGTTGTTGTTGTTGTGTTAGTTTGTTGTTGTTGTTGTGTGTTAGTTTGTTGTTGTTGTGTTAGTTTGTTGTTGTTGTGTTTAGTTTGTGTTGTGTTAGTTTGTTGTTGTTATTGTGTGTGTGTTAGTTTGTTGTTTTGTGTTAGTTTGTGTTGTTGTTGTGTTAGTTTGTTGTTGTGTTGTGTGTTAGTTTGTTGTTGTTGTGTTTAGTTTGTTGTTGTTGTGTTTAGTTTGTTGTTGTTGTGTTTAGTTTGTTGTTGTTGTTGTGTGTTAGTTTGTTGTTGTTGTGTAGTTTGTTGTTGTTGTGTTTAGTTTGTTGTTGTTGTGTTTAGTTGTTGTTGTTGTGTTTAGTTTGTTGTTGTTGTGTGTGTTAGTTTGTGTGTTGTGTTTGTTTGTTGTTGTTGTGTGTTAGTTGTTGTTGTGTTTAGTTTGTTGTTGTTGTGTTAAGTTGTGTTGTTGTGTTAGTTTGTTGTTGTTGTGTTTAGTTTGTTGTTGTTGTGTTTAGTTTGTTGTTGTTGTGTTAAGGTTGTTGTTGTTGTGTTTAGTTTGTTGTTGTTGTGTTTAGTTTGTTGTTGTTGTGTGTTAGTTTGTTGTTGTTGTGTTTAGTTTGTTGTTGTGTTTAGTTTGTTGTTGTGGTTGTTGTTGTTGTGTGTTAGTTTGTTGTTCTTCCCCTCAGACCTCCGATTGGTTGGCTACGTACGGTGCGAAAGAAATTGAACACACACACAACAGCCGCCATTCGCCACTAAGTGGCGGTGACGTCACCACGGCGCTTGTGCCAGGCTAGGTGCACTTTAAGGCCACGTGAAGTGTCGAACGCCCGCTGGCAGGAGGTCACGGAACAGACCCAGCAGGTGCCACGGGTCGACTGAGATGACTGGCAGATGCACCACCACCACATACATACAACATACATAAGTAATGTGCGAGTGGACTGGTGGCCACGGGAGGTAATGACAGGGGAGTCAGCCTGCAGTGCGAATTGACTGGTGGCCACGGGAGGTAATGACAGGGGAGTCAGCCTGCAGTGTGAGTGGACTAGTGGCCACGGGAGGTAATGACAGGGGAGTCAGCCTGCAGTGCGAATGGACTGGTGGCCACGGGAGGTAATGACAGGGGAGTCAGCCTGCAGTGTGAGTGGACTAGTGGCCACGGGAGGTAATGACAGGGGAGTCAGCCTGCAGTTCGAGTGGACTGGTGGCCACGGGAAGTAATGACAGGGGAGTCAGCCTGCAGTGCGAGTGGACTGGTGGCCACGGGAAGTAATGACAGGGGAGTCAGCCTGCAGTACGAGTGGACTGGTGGCCACGGGAAGTAATGACAGGGGAGTCAGCCTGCAGTACGAGTGGACTGGTGGCCACGGGAGGTAATGACAGGGGAGTCAGCCTGCAGTGTGAGTGGACTGGTGGCCACGGGAGGTAATGACAGGGGAGTCAGCCTGCAGTGTGAGTGGACTGGTGGCCACGGGAGGTAATGACAGGGGAATCAGCCTGCAGTGTGAGTGGACTGGTGGCCACGGGAGGTAATGACAGGGGAGTCAGCCTGCAGTGCGAATGGACTGGTGGCCACGGGAGGTAATGACAGGGGAGTCAGCCTGCAGTGCGAATGGACTGGTGGCCACGGGAGGTAATGACAGGGGAATCAGCCGGCAGTGCGAATGGACTGGTGGCCACGGGAGGTAATGACAGGGGAGTCAGCCTGCAGTGTGAATGGACTAGTGGCCACGGGAAGTAATGACAGGGGAGTCAGCCTGCAGTGTGAGTGGACTGGTGGCCACGGGAGGTAATGACAGGGGAGTCAGCCTGCAGTGCGAGTGGACTAGTGGCCACGGGAAGTAATGACAGGGGAGTCAGCCTGCAGTGTGAGTGGACTGGTGGCCATGGGAGGTAATGACAGGGGAGTCAGCCTGCAGTGCGAGTGGATTAGTGGCCACGGGAGGTAATGACAGGGGAGTCAGCCTGCAGTGCGAGTGGACTGGTGGCCACGGGAAGTAATGACAGGGGAGTCAGCCTGCAGTGTGAGTGGACTGGTGGCCACGGGAGGTAATGACAGGGGAGTCAGCCTGCAGTGTGAGTGGACTGGTGGCCACGGGAGGTAATGACAGTGGAGTCAGCCTGCAGTGCGAATGGACTGGTGGCCACGGGAGGTAATGACAGGGGAGTCAGCCTGCAGTGCGAATGGACTGGTGGCCACGGGAGGT